CTAACAAAAATGTTTAGAATGAAGAAAAAGCAAAGGTTATTGTATGTGAAAGATAGACTATAACTGGAAATTGGAGCAATAGTGAACAAAGAAAGTGACAAGATTTCTAGAACAGAAACATTAACATACCTGAACACAGAAAGGTCCTCGTGGGATAGCTCTTTCCATAGCAAAAGGACAGAAGAAGACAAAGAGAAATGCAAAACACGTTGAGGTGGGGCAGTGTGGAGAAAATGCTAGTACAAGAGGTTCAAGGACTTCAGGAAAAGTGACGAAGCTTGTATCCAGGAGAGGCAGTAAAGCCCCTCTTCTCCACCATCCACTCTGAACAGGAAACATTTGAGGTTCTACTGGAAGATCTGTAGCTGCTGGACTCTGTAGGCCAAGTTGCTTTGTTCAGATTCAGAACTGCTACTGTATTAATAGAGGCAAGATTGCTGTAAAAGTCTCTGACACAGCTGTAGGAAAAGAGCCCAAATTTCTACTGAATTGATGCAAGGCACTCCTTCAAGAGAGGAGTAACTCATATTCAAGAGACAAAGCAGCAAAAAGAGAGCTACAGAACAAGCATAGTCTCTATCCCCAGCACCGGTCACTTAGCAACGGTGTAGTCCTGTGTTTATAAATTCACTGTTAAAAGTGTTACAGTCCATGAATATTTTGATCGTGAATCTGTTTGAGACCTCAGATATCTTGTTTTCTATTTTCTTGGTGAATATTTTGTGTCAACAAGGAAATCCTTGCGTTTTGAACTATAATGGAACAATATGAGCATTAGGTCTAATTTAGAAAATGGCCATCAAGAATTGGATGGTGCCAGGGAAAATATCCATTGCAATCTAGATTTTGTTGCTTCACTTCTATATGCATACTTCTATATGCATACTTTAAAAGCTTTTAGAAATGTTAGAGGAAAAACATACAAAAGTAACAATTGAGAAGGGATGCTGATAGGACTTCGTGTAGTTCAGTGGAAGAATACTTTTCAGTCATGTATAAGACCCTGGGTTTAATCAACAACCATAAAAATAAAAAAATAAGGAAATTATTCTTCTTACTAACTAAATTTTATAATGTTAAGTGGCATTTTGCCAACAAATTAAGTATTAGGAAATGTAATGATAGTAACATTATCGACAGTTGAAAAGTATATGAGATTTTATTAAAATCTTTTATATGGTTTTCAAAAACTACCATATTTTCACAAATGCCATCTACTTTGGTGTTCCAGCATGCTGCAGTTAATACTTCTGTTTTAATAATCTATTAACGTTTCACTGAAAATTGTATAATAGCTAGGCTCTGTTCTGAAAAATGCTTCTGTTTGTATAAGTTTTCAACCTCAAAGTGAACCAAATGAAAACAGAAACAAAAAAAAAATCCATGCTATATAGAGATTTCATAATATGCTTATTTTCTGTCATCTTGACAGCCTCCACATAATTCACCCATTCCTTCACCCATTTATTAATTCTATAAAATATTTTGACAACAATTTTGTTTTCACTTTTAGATGCTAAGAATAAACAGAACTGGCATGATTTCCCCTCCCAGGATGCTTTTCATGTATTTGAGGAGACTGATGTTGAACATTACCAATTCTGTGACTGAAGTGATCTGCTTTACTTTTATATAATGATGATAAGATTTCATAACACCTCGAATTTAAAGAGATAGGAGCTCACCTTTTGCAGGCCCTTCATGTGGGCTGTGACACTGGGATCTTATCATCCATTGTGTGGAGCAACATCTTTATGGGCTTCTTTCACAGGAAGAAGATTAACCCCAGAGCACAAAGCAGGGATGTAGTGCAGAGGGTGCAGTGTCCACAGTGAGGACAGTCCCATGTGAGTGTGAAGTGTCTACATGAGAACAGTCCCATGTGAAAAGCTGTTGTGTCCTTCATCTTTGTCTTTCCAATCATGTTGCTTTCATACTTTCTCACCAGAGCTGTCTTTCCTATATTCACACCCATAAAAATAAATAAATAAATAACAAGCAACACATTTGTAAGAGTGTATGTATATGATATTTGCATTCTCGTATGTGATAGTGTACATGCCCCACAAAGCAAAGATCATAGAGAATGTCAGATGTCTTCATCTATCACTATGTCCCATTTCCTTGAGCTATGATATCTCACTGTGCCTGGAGCAGAGCTGGTGGCCAGCAAGCCCCAGTGATCATCCACTCTCTACTTCCCACCCACACAGCACTGGTGTTACAGACACACACCATCATGCCCTGTTTCTTATGAGTTCTGTGGATTTGAACTTAGATCCCCATGGTAGTGAAGATTCTCTTACCAGATAAGTCATCTTCCCTGCCTCCCCTTCAATAAATCTACTTTATAGTTCCCTTGAATTATGGATGTAGTTAGTTGTTCTTTACAATTCTATGACCAATGTCAAGCAAACAGCACCACAGTGTGTTAGTAGATCTACTCAATTCTATCTTTCTGCAAAAAGTAAATTCCCATAACTGCTCAAATTAACTCTTGTTCACATACTCTTTGTCCCTCATATAGATAATGGAATTCATGGTTAACTTTGGATTGAAACTGTATTCTTGTTTGCTAGCATGCAAATAAGGACATATTCTGTTTCAACATTTGTAAGCACTTTTATTTAATATCGCCATTATTTGTGTTAAACAACTTTGGTTTTCTGTTAATAAAATGTCAGATTTAATAAGTAGATTATTCAGAGTATTTTCTTGGGAACCCAGGAAACTAATACTCCTTCAAGAGCTAGTAACTATGTGTAACGTTGTTTAAAACTGTGCACTTGTGTACTTATACAGAGGCACAAATGTGTTTCTCTTGTAGATAATTAAAAGTCAGAGCACCTTTCATGCCCTTCAGACTTTTCAGTTTTTTATCATCGTTTGTCAAAAAAAATTCCTCATATTTAGAGCTTTGGTGAAGCTACTGGTTTCGGTCCAATCAGTTTTAAAATAATTAATTTTTTAAAATAATCTGCAATTCACAGGATCAAGGTTTAAATTTTTCCTATGATTTCAACACTGTACAAACACAGTAAATTTGCTTATATAAATGGATCAAAAATTAGAATAATGAGTCTAGTGATCCACAAACACTTTCAAGGAAAGCACCAATCATATTAAATTGTAAACAAAACTTTCTTCAATAAATGGAACTAAAAATCTTGATTACAATATGGAAAAAAATGAACTTCTACTCAAATTCCACACAAAACAAAATGTTAATCTGAGTTGGTAACAAACCTTATTACAAACAAGTAATAATTCTAGACGAGTGAGAAAATATTCTTATAATCTTTACAGCATAATAGGCAAAGCTTTGTAAGCCAGACTTGTGGCAATCCTCCTACACCAGTCACCCAAGTGCTGTGTACCACTTTGCCTAGCTTCTCTAACAGTTCTTTTCACTTTAGCATCTCCATCAGCATATCCACATGTGCTTCCTTCCTTTGCATTTCTCTCCTGTTCTCCCAGAACTTTTATCATGAAGTCATGTTGAATTTTTTTCAATGATCTTTTCTACATAGATTGGATTTTATGCTTGTCTTTATGTCCACTGATATGATTTATTACACTATTAACTTATGTATGTTGATCTATCTCTGCATCTCCAGGATAAACCCAACTTGGTTGTGGTAGATGATCTTTTTTCTATATCAAACCTTGTCATAAAGATTATAGCATTTTTGGTCATCATGGATATTAGTCTGCAATTCTTTTTTTTTTTTTTTTTTGATGTAGTCTTATCTTGGTTTTGTATTAGGAATTCGTTGAAAACATTTGGAAGGATTACTGTGCTTCTTTTTTCTTTTTCTTTCTTCCTTTCTTTTCTTCCTTTCCTTTCTTTCCTTTCTTCTTTCTTCCTTTCTTCTTATAAGGCATAGTGAGAATAGCAATGGTTACAAGGAGAGTGAGGTGCTGGAGGGAAGGAAGGGCTAGGAGATGGGCATGTGGGTTTTGAAATGTATAAGTACTGTGAGTAGGGACTGAGGGATCAGGCTAAGGACCTTGATATGCTGATGAGGACCAGAAGTATGTGTTAACAAGAGAGCTATATGTCCTATTGGCAAGCGCTAAGGGAAAGGACCCCCTTTGGCAGATAGGAACCCACTTCACAAGTTCCTGGAGGAATGCTGGCTTTTATCTAACCACCAAAAAGCCTCCTACAGTCCAGGTTGAGTTCATTTTTCGATATTTGAACTTCCTTTTGAAGTTTGGGGGATTAGAGTGCCCTTTCGACCTGACACTATTTGGAGCACAGCAAGGCTTTGAATATGTAACACATACATGCAGTTCAGAGTTAGATATGGAGCATTTTAACATTGATATTTAAAACTACACTGTATTGTGAAAGTCATGATCAGCAACTAACGAACATGCATTATACATACATGTAGCTAAACGAAGGGATTACTCAAAAACACAATAAAAGTGCACCACATAAAGCATTGTGACTAATGAAGACACATATTTCTATAAGGGTGCCAAGGATATGAAAATAGATAATAGTAGTGTTCTCATCATTAGAGCCTACTTTAGGTTTTTCACCATTACATTTCCATGCAAAAAGCTGGATTTTATACCTAATCTACACTTTTTATGGGTTTATATTAAATGGAGACACATGATAGATAGACAGACAGACAAATAGATATACACACAGTGAAAAAGGGGGCGTATTTATTTTTGCTTGTTACTAGCAAATTTAGATTGCTAGTACACAGTTACATTCATAACCTAATATGGTGACTTTTCACAGTTACAGCATGCTACAAATGCAGACTGCCTGTATCAGCTTGTGTACGGTAGAGTGAATGCTACAGGATCACGGAGCAGACGAACTCATTTTAATCCACCTTTGATCCTTGCAAAAAAAAAAAAAAAATGTGTACTGTTGGCTGAATTGCGTCAGCTCACTGAGCTCTGTCCTTCAAAGCGACAGCGATCTCTGCGCAGCCGTCCCTACAAGTTACATAACCGCCTGCAGCGGACCTTCCACGGGAAGCTGACAGGAAGGGGCGGAGCCCACGCCGCCCCGCGCCACTAGGGAGGGAGCGGCCGGAGGGCGCGGAGGGCGCGGAAGCCGCTGCCAGGGTAGCGGGGAACGGGTGGCCACGTCGTCCGGGCCACGGCCCGACCCTGCTCGGGACCGCGCGGAGCTGCGGAGCCCCTCGGCCGAGTGGGACAGCACCATGGCCCCCGCCGACGTCCCGTCCGCCCTGGCGCTCACGGCCCTGGGCCCCGCGGCCGCCACCCCGTACTGTGCCTTCTGCAAGGGGCTCTCCCGGACCCTGCTCGCCTTCTTCGAGCTGGCCTGGCAGCTGCGCACGAACTTCCCGTACTTCTACATCGCCGGCTCGGTGATCCTCAACATCCGCCTGCAGGTACACATTTAGAGCCGCGCCTGCCTGGCCGGCCTCCGGGGACCCGCAAGATGGCCTCCGCCCAGGCCGCCCCGCCCGCCGCGCCGCCGGGGCGCGCGTGAAGAACGGGCAGACTCGCGAGAGCGCGCTCGCGCGCGACCTGCTCCCTGCCTCCCCTGCCTCCCCTGCCTGGGGTTTGGAGGTGCTTTTTGAAAGCTCGCCCGGTCTGTTAAGAGCAAAGACGTTCCAGAAGCAGAGAAACTAAGGCCCAAGGACGTACCTAAGGAATACGCTTCAGTAAATCCCTGGCGAATATTGGCATTCACAGATTGCATTGTGAGAAAGGGGGGGACAAAAAGGTTTTCAAGAACACAGATTTACATCCAATTTATATTCTGAGAATATTGGATTGTCATTGAATCAGAGGCCTGATATACCATGAATGTGACCTGAAAAGTATATGTCGCTTCCTCACACAAGAGGATACATTGAAACTGGATCAGAGCCAGACTACAGGAAAGCTTGTCCCCATTGCCAAATATGACAGCGGGATTTTGAACAAATGGTGGGAGTGTGAGAAGATGTCCCTGTCAAAGAGACATTAGAGCCAAAAAAAAAGTCCAGTCGAAGCAAAAAGAAAGGACTATTCTCTGCCAGTAATGCAAACTGATAGTAATGCAAATGGACCAAACATGGCTTTCTTCTTTAAAGGGAATTCTTAATTTCGGTTACAGAGTAAAATACAGAAGTTACAAACCTTGCGAAAATACAGTTGACACGTGGAAGGACAAGAATGTAAATGAAATGGTGCTGTCCTTGTGGAGTGGGAGGGTAATATATATGATCTGTTGTGAATGATTAGGACGTCTTGTGCATTGTGGACAGCCAGGAACTTTCTAACTGCTAAAATGGAGGGGGTAACCAGATGAAATTAAACAGGAAATGCCCAAGGATGGAGTGTACTGAACGTCCAAAAAAGAGCAAATGCCTGGTGTATGTGTGAATGTATGCTAGAGATTTTTTCCAAGTCTGGGGTGAGTTAGTACTTATATTTATAAACCCCATGAGAAATAAAATAGTCAAAAGTTATACTGTCATACCTCATGTGACTAATACTGTACCTGTAATATAAGTACTTGGTTCACAAGAAATGATAATGTAACATTGGGTAGCTTGAAGAGGGAAAGGCTGTGTGTTGATGGGAAGTCCATCAGGAGCTGTTACAGAGAGAGGACTAGAGATTTGGTTCAGTTGTAGAGTGTTGCCTAGCATGCCCAAAGCTCTATGTTTGGTCCCCAACTCTACAAAAAAAGATCAGATATATAAAAGGAAGCATAAACTATGATTAGAAAAATCAATGCAGAAACATCTAAGAGTTAAAATCGTTATTTCTGAAGAAAAGAAATTGAAATAGAGGAAAAGCAACGGTTTGTTCATTTTTGTTACTAATCTAACACTGTTATGTGATTCATATTTAATCATGAATATGATTTTCTTAAAGTCTAATTTAAAATAGTTCCCCAGGTAATTATGTCTGCTACAGTTTAAATGATGCACAAAGATCATGGGATTGAAACTAAATCATACAGAACACTGTTCCTGCTTGATAATATATATGAATACAGAAACATTCTACCTACTCTCGCTTGGAAATCATTTTCATTTCTACTTGTGATTTTCCTTACATATAAATGTAATTGTATTTGTTCTAAACTCATGTAAGATGAATATATGCTGCTACAGACTTGACATGGAAGTGGAACTGTCACGGTTATTTCCTCCCTAGGAGCACATGTTACTATAACGCATGCTGTTTTGAAAACCCTCTGCCGTCTTTGTGAGCAAATTGCTAGTTTCTAGGCTCTTCTAGGAAAATCTCATGATGTTCAAAGATAACTGAAAGGATCCAGTGAGAGCCAGACATAGTAGTACACAGCTGTTATCCCAGTACTAAGGTTGAGTTGTAGCATCATGTGTTCAAAAACAACCTGGGCCACGTGTTGAAAAGTCTGTACCACAGAAACAAAAGCTAAAGGGTCCAGTGATTAAGAACAGTATTTCAGAAGGAAATCCAGTGTCTCCTCATTAGTTTAATTCTAGAAAAGCTTAAGAACCCAAAGGTTTTATTTTTCTTTTGTTGTAGTATTTTGTTTGTGCTTTTTCTTATTTTGTTTCGTTTTGTTTTGTTTTGACAGGGTTGCTTGGGAATTTGCTGTATAGCCAAGACTGATCCCCCTGACATGTGCCAATAAGCATTTAATCTTGCCAGATGAGTCCCAAGGCTGTTTGACTAAGGTTCCTTTGTTAAAATTTTAGTCTAAATGGGTGCTTTGAAGGGAAAAATTATCAGTTTTTAATTGATAAAGAAATATTCCAGATGTTTTAAAAATATCAGATAAATCCAACTGTAATAGGACAGAAACAGTGACCACAGAGAGAAAGATCTGGAAACATAGTTCAGTCAGTACAGTACATTCTGTAAAAGCTTGAAGATATAAGTTTGATCCCCCCAGAGCATTCATAAGTAAGCCAGGCTTGGTAGTATGCTTGCAGCCACAGTGCTAAAGATCCCTGGGGCTCTCTAACCAGCCACCCTAGCCTACTGGGAAAGTTCTAGGATGTTGAAAGTCACTGTCTTTAACAATGCCTGAAGAATTATACTGTGTTTAACCACTAGCTGCCTCCTGCACATCTCCCTACTTAATATCCTCCTTTTATCCTTTTTTCTTTAAATCTAGAGTCCAATTCATGTTACCCATATATACATGGCTGTTGGGTCATCCATATACCTAAAGAAAAGTGACGGAGCTGGAGAGATGGACTAGCCAGCAAGTAAGTTGCAGCATTATGTCCATAGACAACACTCAAGTCCTCTCTCTGTAGTCGGCCCTCCTGCCTCAAACAGTCAGAGTTTGCCCTGGAAGGATGGCCCAGAAAGCCGGCATTTTAAAACAGCACAACATTTTCCTGCTACGGCTGAAAACAAACAAGCATGCAGTCAGCTTTTCAATACCATTTAAGTGTTTCATGGCAGGACCTCTTAATGAGCTGCAGGGTTTTGCAGCTAAAGCTGAGTCAGGAAGCCTCTCTTAGATGAGAGCGCTTGCTTGCCTCTAGCAAGCAGAGTAGACCAGAGAAATTGTTGCTACCAAGAAAACATGCTTTATTCTTTCCCAAGCTTTCTCAGACTTTCACTAGATTCAGTTGTCCCCACGTCTGGGCGCCATTCTGCTGTGGGAGCTGCGGGCCTGCTTTTCATCTTGCCCGGCTCCCGCACAGCTAGCTTTACACCAGAAATAACAACACACAAACTGTATTCTTTTAAACACTGCTTGGCCCATTATATCTAGCCTCTTCTTAGCTAACTCACACCTGGACTAGCCCATTTCTAATAATGTGTCTAGCACCCCAAGGTGCACTTACCAGGAAGATTCTAGCCTACGTCCATCCTGGGTCAGAGCTTCATCGCGTCTGCCCCAGAGAGGAGAGCTACCGAGTCTGGGCTCACTTCCTCTTCCTCACCTACACTTCCTCACTGTAGTAATTAAGTCACTGCTTGGCCAATTAGCTCTAGCTTCTTGTTGGCTAATATTACATATTAATTTAACCCATCTCCATTAATCTGTGTATCAGCATGAGGTCATGGTCTATCAGCAAAGTCTCAGCACGTCTGTCTCTGGCGGTGGCAGCTCCATGGCTTCTCATCTCTGCCTTCCTTCTCCCAGCATTCAGTCCAGTTTTCTCTGACCATCTAAGTTCTGCCCTATTAACAGGCCAAGGTAGTTTCTTTTTACATTAATGATAATCACAGCACACAGAGGGACTCCCACATCACCTCCCCTTTTTTGTTTAAATAAAAAGGAAGGTTTTGACTTTAAAATAGAAAAATTACATATAATGAAGCAGATATCAAGCAAAAATTACAATTACAGTATTTATATATACTTTATCTTTTATCATAACTAAGGAAAACTATAACTATAAATTCTTCAACTCCATCAAAGACTCCAGAAGGATATAATATTACTTAAGTAAACAGGAAGTACATTGCAAGCAACTTCCGAAACTCTAGCAATGGCAGAGACATCTTACTACCTAGACAGTCACCCAAAGTTCTTTTGTATTTTGGGGGCATCCATCTTCAGCCTACAGGCCCATAGCATCCAGCAGACTTTTCCACAAAGCAGGAAATTTCAAAGACAGTTCTGCCTATATTGGCAATTTGCCAGTCACTTTTTTTTTTCTATCCTGCAGAATGTCTCACAGATTCTTTCATGAAGCAGGAACTCTGAAAGATTATCTCACCTTCAGGCAAGTTCAGCAGTCATTTCTCTGTGGGTCCTGCATGTCCAGTTCATCAAGCAGCCCAGGCAAAAGCAGTTTCCTACCCAAATGGCTAACCAACTTCATAAGGAGCTTTGTCGATGCCTGTCTTCCTTCTTGAAGTAGTTTGGTGCTGCCAGGAGCAAATGTGTCTCATTATCATGAAAAATCCTAAGTTATTAAAACATTTGAAATGCCATATTCTGAAGGTCTCTGAAAGATTTGAAGAATACCAATCTAACTGAAATATATCTCTATACATCTAAATAACATGACTACAAGCTTGACTTTTATAAATGATTATTAACCTATATTTCTTAATTATATGTTACATTTTTAAATGAGCTACACAGTAACAATACCTTAATCAAGAACAGAATTATACACAAAACAAAATCTTATATTTGTATCAATAAACCAAGATCCATACCAATGCAAATTATTCATATCTATATCATATCCCTCTTTAAATGTAAAAAAAATTACAAATAATATTTGTGAATATGAGCACAGTCTGTCCAAACTTCTTCCTGCTGTTTATTGGGCAAAGTAATTTTTTGAGGGGTGTTCAAGGCAACCTTTCAGGAGGTCTTGATCCATGAAACCATATTGGTCTGGAAGCAATCCACAGGTTTTTATCTTCTGTGGAAACAAGAGAAGAACCTCTTTTCCAAGGAAACATATCCTTAGACCCAAATTTGGAAGTCATGATACCTTTATAATATACATGCTTGTTTAGCTTAACAGCCCATACAATGAAATGTTTCCCTGTACTTAGCTCCTTCACAGTCAAAAAATTCAAAAAAACACAATAATATACATAATTCAGACTCTGTGTATAGTTCATCTTTACGTAGCTTATTTTTCTTTACTCCTTTTAATCTATGACTGTCTGTACTTTGTCTCTTTAAAAACTTTTTTAAAAAAACAATTTACTTCTTTTCCAATTCTCTGTACTCTTTTTTTTTCTCATTCCCAAGCCTACATACATTTATGCAACACTGTGACCCATTTGGAGATCTTTTATGTCTGAATCTGTCCTTACTGCATTATCTGTAATTCTTTACTGTCTTGAAGACCTTTTAAAATGGTAAGCAGCTTGGTTGCAGCTGCTCTGAATGCTGGCTCTGCCTCTCTCCACTTTTAAAATGGTGAACATACCATTACTGCCAGGTTTGGTAGGAGCCACACTCAACACTTTAATTTTGAGATTGAGCATGCAGCAAATGAACCCTTTTTATTGGAGTAATAGCTAAATCCGCCATGCAGCACACTGTGTGGCCTGGAAATATCTCTGTGTATGGTGGCAGGAATCCAACATGCTCCCCTGCTTGTGCATGCCCAGTAGACCTGATCCTACCACCTACCCAGGCGGAGAGCGCTGGGCCGTAGGCATGGTCTCAGCTACTTTCCACCCGACCCCAAGTGGACACACAAACACCCAAGCCCACAAATGCCATTCAAATGCTACATAGCCAGAGTTCATCCTGGCATCATGGTGCAGTAAGCCACATTTTAAAGCCACGTAGCTTTTTTTTGTTTTCTGCTATGGCAGCATCAGAAAAACCTCTTAATGGAGCTGCGGCAAGCTGCCAGCAAACAGCAAGAAGCTGTGTTAAACTCTATATTATTTTTTCTAGAATTCTTTTTCAAGCCCTCTTAGGTTTTACATGGATTTAGTCCACCATGCTGGCACCAATCCAAGGAATAATGAGAAAGTACTTATGGAAATCCACTCTGACCTAATTAATACAAAACATGATGGGAAGTTTAAAAAAATTAAAACAAAGAACTTTATCTGTGAATGATCTTATCACCTCTTTTCACTAACACATCTCATTTTTCTGTTTGAATTGCACAGCCTTTTAAATCGTGTGTGTGTGTGTGTGTGTGTGTGTGTGTGTGTGTGTGTGTGATGCTCCAGTGAACTTCATGTTTGCCTTTTTCTGTTTCTCTCACCACTTCACACACATCTTTAAGTCTCCCAATGGTCTCAATGGCCAACAAAGCCCAGTGGCAAGTGTTCCCAACCCCATGACACTCTGATGTTCCATCAATAGGAAGATGTTCATGAGTAAAGAAATGTGCCCAATTCTTGTTATTGTTCTAATATGCTGACCTTAGCAACTTTTCCTTTGAGAGACACCAAACTAAAGCCTTTTTAAGAGGTCTTAAATTTTTAAGAGCTAATCCTAACACAAAGAGCTATGCCAGGGACCAAAAACAAACTTTTAAGTGTCACATTCATCTCCCACATGTAAAGTGTGTTTCCCCAACTTTATCACTGTCGACTACAAATACTCCACTTGTGTTTCTCTGTAGATTCCTGTTTCACTTCGAATAGCATACCCCTTTCATTTTCAAACCCGAGGGCTACAGTTGTTCTTCACAATTCTCAAAGGATGTGATGGTTAGTGTTAATTGCCAGTTTGACAGATCTACTCTCACCTAGGAGATGGGCCTCTGCGTATGGCTGTGGGACTTATCTTGATGATATTAATTGATGTTGGAATAAGTACCTTAATTGTGGGTGGGATCATTGCCTGGACTGAAGATCCTGGACTGTGTGCATGGAAGAAAGAAGCTGAACAACAATTGAATTTAGGTCTGATGTGATCCCCTACTTCAAACTCCTGATAGTGATTTTTCCTACCATAATGGACTGTGCCTTGAACTGTGAACTAAGATAAATTCTGTCTCCTTTAAGTTGTTCTGTCAGAATATTTTATCACAGAAAAGGAGGAAACAAAATTAAAATGGAGGAAAATACCCTTCACTGTCTCTTCCTCACAGCAAATGTAAGGTAGAGCAGGCCTAACATAGAAAGGCAGGCTCTTCAGTGACAGGAAGTATATAGTACAGGGTTAGAATGAGAATGACTGGACATCGTATCAGTCTCAGAGAATATATTAATTTTGTTATAGCAAACACACACAAGACAATTAGAAAAGCTCTAAATGAGATTTGGTGTACCAGGAGTCAAAAATGATTGCCTGTTTGTTTCTCAAATGCATTTAACAGAATTTCATATAATTTTTCTTTTGAGTATCTAAAATGAGACATTTGGGAGGACTTTGCATAATGTGAACAACCATTTTTAAGAAAAGGTCTAGTGAGGTTTTGCCAGCAGAAACCACCTAAAAAGTGGCATGTGACCCACTTGAAACAATGTGCTGGCAGAGGATCTCATGCTGCTGAGGCTGGCAGGAAAGTGGCAGATGGAGATGGTGGAGGCACAGAACTTGAGTCACTTGCCATTCAAATGTGGATTACAAACCAGTCACTAAATAACCTAGCTATGGCCTGGGATTCATTTACTGATACTTTGCCATTCTTCTACTGTCAAGAACAAAACCCCAGTCTTTATACTTCTTTCTCCTAAAGTTTGTTTCTTTTTTTGTTTGGTTTTTGTTTTTCCAAGGCAGGATTTCTCTGTGTAGCTCTGGCTGTCCCAGAACTCACTCTGTAGACCAGGATGACTTTGAACTCAGAGGGATCTGCCTGTCTCTGCCTCCCTGAGTGCTGTTATTAAAGGTGTGTGCCACCATTGCCCAGCTTCTAAAGTTTGTTTCTTAAGTATGGGTTATTCCTAGCTATTCGTTAGCTCATTCCCCCGAAAAACCATTTCATTAGAATCAAAAGTTGCTCACAAGTTTACTTCATTAGCTTCTCTTAATTACCGAATTTCAGTAACACTAAACACTAAATAAAATAAATATAAAATAAATTCTTTAAAATAAAAACAAGGTCAATATCTGAGGCTGAATTTGCACATTTTATTTTCCAAGGCAAGATAACTAAAATATAATGACTGAAATTACATGTTTTGCTTTATCAAATAGAGATTACTAATAAATATGTGCTCTGTTATCATGAAAGCCATTGTCAACATCATTCTTACCATCTATATGTAGAAGAACCACACAGCTCAGATATAGTTGGGTAGAAAATGTGAATATTTTTAACAATAACTACTTATAACTCCTCCAAGCCAAACCAGCAAGTACATATCATCATTGTAGCTTCTTATTTTACATTATGACTATATAGACTAAACAAATGCAATCCCTAGTATATTGTATGTAATGTCTAGTAGTTGTATAATGTTATAATTCCCACCACCACAATGAAAATGTTATAGCAAATTTTCCCCACTCTCTTATTTGGAATTTACATCTATCATATCTACACTTACAATATAATATTACATTGTATAATACAATGTAATATTACAGCATTACAAATATATCTACACATCCACACTCCCCATTAAATTTGCCATTTACTATAAACTTTGCCCTCCTCATCTTCTTCCTTCATCTAATAACTGTGACTTGTGCTCAGAACTCTGGTAATCAGATTGCAATAAAATGTATGCACAAATATGTTTTCATTCTCAGTTACAATATTTATATCTACTTTACCTTTAATGATAACTAAGAAAAACTATAACTACGTATTCTTCAACTCCATCAAAGACTCCAGAAGGATATAATATTACCTCAATTAACAGGAAATGCATTATAAGCAACTTTCAAAACTCTAGAAATGACAGAGACATCTCATTGCCCTAACAGTCATCCAAAATTCTTCTGTGTTGTTGGGGCATCCAATCTTCAGCCAACAGGCACATAGTATCCAGCAGAGTTTTCCATGAAGCAGGAAATTTAAAGATCTGTTCTGCCTTTCAATGGCAAAATACATCAGTTGCTTTTTTCTGTGTCCTGCAGAATGTCTGGCAGAATCTTTCATGAAACAGGAAACCCAAAGGATCATCTCACCATTAGGCAAGTTCACCAGTCATTTCTTTGTGGGTCCTGCATGTCCAATTCATCAAGAAGTCCAGGCAAAAGCAGTTTCCTGCCCAAATGGTTAACAAACTCCATAAGGAGCCTCTTCGATGCCCATCTTCCTCTTTAAGTAATTGGTGCTGCCAGAGCATATGTGTCTCACTGTCATGAGAAGTCTTAAACTATTAAAATTTTAAATGCCATATTCTGAATGTCTCTGAAAAATTTGAAGAATACCTATCTAACAGAAATATATCTCTATGTATCTAGAAAAACCTAACTAACAGGACTAGAAGCTTGACTGTTATAGATGATTATCTATTAACCTGTATTTCTTAATTATATATTACATTTTTAAATGAGCTGTACAAACATAATACCTTAATCAAGAGCAGAAATATACATAGACACAGTATAACAAAATTGACCTTAAATTTATATTAATAAACCACGATCCTACCAATGCAAATCTCTATAGCATATCCACCTTTAAATGTAAACAAACATTTATAAACAATCATTTAGGGAATTTGGGCATAGTTCTATCCAAACTGCTTCCTGATTTTTGTTGGGTGAAGTAATTTTTGGAGGTGTTTACGGTAACCTTTCTGGAGTCTTAGTCCATCAAACCACATTAATCTGGAAGGATTACACAGGTTCTCATCCTCTGTGGAAACAAAAGAAGAACCTCTTTACCAAAGCAACATATCCTTAGATCCATATTTCAATGACGAAATACCTCTAAAGTATATAAGTTGGTTACTTAGCTCCTTCATAGTCAAAAAATTCAAAAAAGCACAATAATACACATAATCCAGACTCTGTGTATTTTCCATATTTATTTGGCTTATTAATTTTTTACTTTATGTTTAATATTTATTTTATTACTTTTACTGCTTTAATCTGTGACTGTCTATCTCTTTAAAGACTTTGGGTTTTTCTAAACCATTTACTTCCTTTTATGACTCTCTATACTCTTTCTTTTTCTATCCCAAGCCTATGTAGATTTATCCAACACTGTGATCCATTCAGAGGTCTTTTTCATCTGAATTTCTATTTATTGTGTATCTAGTGATCCTTTTCTGTCCTAGAGAGCTCTTAAAATGCTAAGCAGCTTGGTCACAATGGCCCTGGGTGCTGGCTCCACCTCTGTCTGCTTTTTAAAATGGTGAATGTACCATTACCACCAGTTCTGGGACTTCCAGGTAGGATCTGTGCTCACCAGTTTTAACTCTGAGAAGGAGTATGCAGCACATAAATCCTTTTTATCTGAGCAATATCTAAATCTGCCATGCAGCACAATGTACAGTCTGGGAGTATTTCAGTGTCTGGTGTCAGGAATCTGCCATGCTCACCTCCCTGTACATGCCTAGCAGACTTGATTCCACTGCCTGCCCAAGGCAGGGAGCGCTGAGCTGTGAGCATGGTCTCAGCTACTTTGCTCCTGACCCCAAGTGGGCACATAAGCACCCATGCCTACAAATGCAATTCAGGTGTTCAGCCTCTAGAAAGAGCCACAATCTACTGCCATTTGAAACCCTGCTGAATCAGGAAGACATCTCTTAAAGGAGCCACAGCATGTTTCCAGCAAGCAAAGCCCATTGGGGGATTGGAAGGATGTGGCTAAACTTTGTTTTTTAGTGTCTAGAGTTCCTTTCCAAGCTTTCTCAGGTTTTAGATGGATATAGTCAACCATGTTGGAGAACCAATTAGTTGTAAAGAGGCTGCCTGTTCATTTCCTGGCTGCCCAGACTCCTGAAATAACCACACAGAATGTTGAAATAAGGAGCGGCGGGGCTGCGTCCCCAACACCCCGGCCACTTGGCTAGCTCATGCCCGAAATAACAACACACAAACTGTGTTCATTTAAGAACTGCTTGGCCCATGAACTCTAACACTTACAGGCTAATTCTCGCACCTGGACTAGCCCATTTCTAATGATGTGTGTAAGCACCCCAAGGTGCGCTTACCGGGAAGATTCTAGCCTACATCCATTCGGGATTGGAGGAGCTTCATTGCGTGCATCTGCCTGGGAGAGCTGAGCATGGTGTCTCTGCTCCAGCAGAGCAGAGTCTGACCTCACTTCCTCTTCCGCCCAGAATTCTATTCTGTTTACTCCTCCCATCTATGTTCTAAGCTGAGGCCAAGCAGTTGGTTTATTATAACTTAACCAATGAAATCAACAGATTGATATATGACACTCCCACATCAACAGAAACTGTATTAATTAAATCACTTCTTGGCCAATTATCTCTAGCTTCTTATTGGCTAACTCTTACATATTAATTTAACACATTTCTAGTAATCTATGTATCACCACAAGGTTGTGGCTTACCGACTAATGTTCTGGTGTCTGTCTCTGTCAGGGCTACATGGCTTCTCCCTGACTCTATCTTCTTTCTTCTAGCATTCAGTTTAGTTTTCCCTGCCTAAGTTCTGCCCTGCTATAGGTCCAAAGAAGTTTCTTTATTCATTGATGGTAATCACAACATACAGAGGGGAATCCTACATCAACAAACCTTCCTTCTTAATGGTTATTACATTTCTTTTGCCTGTAAAATTAACTATTTGATTCCTTTAAATAGTTAAAATGTTTAAAATGTTTGAGACTACTAGTTTTGATTACCAATGATGGAAACAAAAAAGATAGGTTTCTGCTTTATAGCCTGACTATGTGCAAACTGTCAGAAAAGGTAGTGTGTTTAAAGAACTGTTTGTGAATGTTCAGTAGTATTTAGAACCCAGCAGAAGAACAGTGACCTTCTGAGGCTCCCCATTAGCTTAGTCACTTAGCAAAGACTCTGGAGAATCTATGAAAGGAGAGGATCAACTCTTGCAGCTGGCTTTTAAGATGTTGAAGGGCCCTCACTGCTGTCTGCCGAAGCTTGCTATTTCCCAGGATCAGAATATATGAGTGACTTAAAGGAAAGATATTTAATGTTAACATAACCAACTTAACTGAGCTATTCATTGGACAATACATAAATAACCAACGTGTCAGCTGCACGAAAAAAATGTGAATTACAAAGAGAATGAGGAAAGACAACAGCATTTTCATTGCCTTCTTGTGGACCTTGGTTCTAGAATCTTCAGAGCTGGTGGAAATGAGGTGGCAGTTTCTGGAGTGCTTCACCAAGGACAAAAATAAAAGGAGCAATGATACTAGGGACACAAGAAATGGCATCAAGTATGTCAAGTGAAAAACAATTAGGTTTTTGACAGCAATGGTTTTATGTGTATCTGAAAATAGAGTCTGATTGCTTTTAGCCATCATGTAAATCTCCATGAAAATAGGAAGTGTTCCAAGCAGTAGAAAATAAAAAATCAGCAAGAACAAAGAAAATGCAAGAAAAACAACAATCATGCTTCTCATTCTCCACTTCAACCAGAGGAAAAGAGGATGGGAGAAATGGGCAATTTTGAGGAAGTAGAAGATGCTGAGGCAGGTGGCAAACCATATAGACAGTTGGTCAGTCATGATCCATAATATATCAGAGCATTTTGCTAGACTGGAAGAATCATAGACATGAGGAGCTAGTTCCCATATAACTGCATCAACAAATACCACGAGCAGGGAGCTCATTCTGGAAACTGCCAAACAGATCAGGATGAAGTTGATGAAGGTGACTTTGTGGTTCTTGACCCAGTCATAGCAGCTTACCAGTCCAATTAACACATTCCCCAGCATTCCAGTGATGAATCCTGCTGTCATCAATATCATAAACATCTGATCCAAACAGGTAAGTAATCTTACAGGAAAAAGATCCACACTTCTACCACATTGCCTTGCTGATCAGTTCTTAGTCAAACTTCTACAGAATATCCTATTTTCCCATATTGATCTTCTTTCCTTTTGTTGTAATCTCAGCTCTGATCAGAATCTCCTTCATTTGGATAGTTTCACACATACTTGAGGAACTTCTAGATTATGGGTATTTTGTCTTATTTAACTTTAATCCCAAACTTGATCTGTAAATGTCTGTTTATGAATACAGTTTTCATAATTCTATTAAAAATTTTTTAAAAGAATCATTAAATTTTGATCCAAACAGTTTCTATGCCCACATAATCACTGATGTAGCCTTAAATTTCCCCTGAAATCATGTTTGAAATGTTCAAGTCAAATATATTAAAATACAAATTTGAATCAGATTTTTATTCCATTGATTTGTATAATGCTTTCCTTCTCACCTGGAATGTTACACTCTCTGAAGCTAGATATCTTTGTTATTATTCAAAGCACTAAAACAAGTTTTAAATAATTTAGTTATGGATTTCATAAACATGTGTTATATTTTCTCTTTGATATGTGTTTGGCCGTACAAAAGCAATTTTAAAAATCAAAGCATTAAGAAACATAGAATAAAAACAGGAAGAAAGAACTTTAAAATGTATTATATAAAAGTAGATAAAAGTAACTACAATCTGAAAACATCCTTCTAGAGGAGTAAAGACATGACATTTGGATCTTGGAAATACTTAGAATTTTTGAAGAATTAACAAGATGTTTCTCAGGTATTTCTGAGTGGAGTTCACAGTTAAATAGTCTCCCAGATTTTGCTCTTTACCACTTTATGTGTTGTGTTTGTGTTGGCCTGAGGTATGACAGTATAGGTTTAGCCTTAAATGACAGCTAGAAAATTGTTTGGGGTGAGAATTGTAAAAGTAAAAAAGAATAGCACACAAGGTGGGGAGGTGTAGTAGAGCAAAATTAAATGAAAATAAAAAAATGGTAGTTCCACTTTTCAAAGGATAATGATAGCTTGAGCCAGATTCACACCTAGAAACAGAGGGGACTTATAGTGATGACGGCCTCTGAGAGGAGGAATCAAGGAAATTTAGTGACACATGGTGGGGGGGAGGGGAGATTAGTGACAGAACCATCCATGGTGTAACATGAGGGCCTGCTTGTTAGGGTTTCTGTCCTGCCTGGTCTCTGTTTTCCCACCAGATCCCACAGCCATTTAGCCCCAAAGAAAATCACACAGAGAGTCTACATTAGGTTATAAACTAACTGGCCCATTAGCTCAAGCTTTGTATTAGCTCTTATAGCTTATATAAGCCCATTATTCTAGTATATGTTAGCCACATAGCTCGAGAACCTTTTTCAGCAAGGCAGGTCACATCTTCCTCCTTCAGTGTCTGGACAGGACTGGGGAGGAATTGGCTTCCCCCTTCCTAGAATTCTCCTGTTCTCATTGACCCACCTCTACTTCCTGGTTGTTCTGTCTATACTTCTTACTTGGCTACTGGCCAATCAGCGTTTATTTAAAACATAATTGACAGAATATAGACAATTCTCCCGCACCACCATGGTGCAAAGATTTCTTATGTATCTGAATCCATGACATTTTCTTATTCCAGGGAATCATGAAAGAGTGAGCATCTTTAGGATAAAAAAAAAAGGAAAGAAGTAAGAAAAAAAGGTAGAGGATGGTGAGGTCTGGTATATGAATTCACATCTCTGTAACCATCTGTATGGAATCTAGAATAGGCTCTTGGGTATCTGTGACTGCCTTCCAGAAAAGGAATTTGTATCAGGGAACTGAGGGATCACTTGTACTTGGTATCACTAAAAGTGATCTCCAAGGATCCCAAGGAATACCAAGAGATGAAAACACTAATAAGTCATCACATGAAACTAAGAGGCTAGGGTTTGAGAGTTACCAAGGGCAGTTACTATGATGAGGAAAGTAATCAATATCTCATGGTATTGTCAGGGGTGAGGAGACAGATGCTCTGCCACACACACACACACACACACACACACACACACACACACTGTCACTTCCTGATATTTCAGGAGTTCCTTTTGCCTTCTGGTCTCTCCACTTAGACAGTCCCAGGATCAGTGACTGATAGAGAAGAGAATTTCAGAACCAGTATGAAATACATTTGGTGGTTTATTAAAATTGCAAAAGCACTCAGGGAAAGAATAAGACATACTCAAGTGTACTCAGGGACTTATGAGAAATCACGATTAATTGTCTTAACATTAGCACATATGCTATTTTCATGGCCCATGAGTTACATCTCAAAGAACTGTTAAGAAAAATCAGGTTTGATCAAGGAAGACTACCTGAGAAATATCAGGGAAGAACAGATGGTCCAGACGTCTAAGTTCTACATCCAGAACAGATTCAAGATTGCTGCCTGAGATGATCAAGCCTCACAGGATACTCCAGTCGTGACTTGATTATAATTATAAATTTTCTTTAGGTCCCCATAAAATTATCAGTGGCCCCCAAAGCAGCAGGAAGTAGCCTGGGAAACTATACCCACATTTCCGAAGAATGGACTATGGACATTTTCTTTTGTTTAGAATGGTGATTACAAGTTGTTACAGAAGAAGCAAGATGTAACTGCCTTGCCAAATAAGGTACCAAGCCATGTGGATAACATAGACAAAGATAATGGGCTAACGTAACTTATAAGAGTTAGTAAGAAGCCTGAGCTAATGGGCCAATCGGTTTATAACTAATGTAGACCTCTGTGTGATTTTTGGGGGGGCTTAACGATTGCGGGAACCAGGGAAGACAAAAACCTCAGACAACAATAAAAGATAAAATAAACATAAACATTGTAACTATAAAGATTACTTGATACCTGTTTTATTATATGTAATTTTGCTATGTTAAAGTTAAAACTTCCTTCTTTATTTAAATAGAAAAGGGGAGGTAATATGGGATTTCCCTCTGTATGCTATGATTACCATTAATGAATAAAGAAACTGCTTTGGACCTATAGCAGGGAAGAACTAAGGTAGGCAGGGAAAACTAAACTGAATGCTGTGAGAAAGAAAGGTGTTGTAGGAGGGTCATCTGTCTATGTGTTACTTTCATTGATTAATAAAGAAACTGCCTTGGCTTTTGATAGGACATCAGCTTAGATAGGCAGAGTAGACAGAACAGGATGCTGGGAGAAAGAAGCAGAGTCAGGCAGACGCCATGGAGCCAGCCACCAGGTCAGACATGCTGAATCTTTCCCGGTAAGCCACCACCTTGTGGTGCTACACAGATTATTAGAAATGGGTTAATCAAGATGTGAGAGGTAGCCAGTAAGAGGCTAGAGATAATGGGCCAAGCAGTGTTTAAATGAATACAATTTGTGTGTTGTTATTTCGGGTGTAAAGCTAGCCATGTGGTAGCCAGGCAGGAAGAAAAGCAGGCCTGCTCTGCTCACCTCATCACAACAGAAAGGTGGAGTCAGAGAGAAGCCATGTCGCCCTGCTGGAGACAGATGCAGGAACTTTGCTGGTGAGCCACTGCCATGTGGAAATACACAGATTAATAGAAATGGGTTAAATTAATATGTAAGAGCTAGCCAAAAAGAAGCTAGAGCTAATAGCCAAGCAGTTATTTAATACAGTTTTGGTATGATTATTTCAGGGCTAAGTGGCTGGGAACCAACAAGCAGCCTCGCCCTGCATATTTTTTATTCAAGCCTTGTGAATTTTACAGAATTTTGCATATTATTTCTTCTAAAATATATTGTTGATCATTGAAATTTATGTTTGACTGAGCTAGTTTAATACTTTTTTTTTTAATTTTCTATTACATTACCATCATGTTCTGAAGGCGAAGGCGTAAGTCACAAACAATCCCACATCAGTTTGGAATTATGATTAATAGAATGGTTATTTATTTAAAGGGGAAAAAACTTACAGATCACCAGACAACAGCCTTCTGCGCAATCAGGAAGGGAGTCTAGTCTCCGGCAGAGCAGGAAGTAAGAAAGAGAGGAGAGGGAAGTGGCCACTTTTTTAAAGGGAGAGAAACCACACCCCAATAGGCTGGTATCTCAGCGGCTCTTGGCTGAAGGAGTGGAAGGAGCTCCCACAACATCTCCCCCTTTTGTTTGAGTAAGAGATTTCTAAACCTATTATGAAATTATATACAATAAGTACAAATATCCTATTCTAACTAGCTTAAGTCTTATATAATAAATAGCTTGGCCAAGTCATGAGTGGAAAGTAACTATATTTATATAGTCTTCAACCCCATCGAAGATCTGAGAAGGGAAATAATGTTACCTGAGTAATTAGGAAGTGCAATCAAACAACTTCCAAAACATGCAACAAATCACAGAGACAACTAGCTACCTAGGCAATGACCCAAGGTCACGTTTGCAGCGTTGAAGCAACCAACCTTGGCTAAGGCCTAACATAACTAACATACCATTTTCAAAGGCAAGCAACTTTTCAAAACTATCTTACCCTGTCTTGGCAGGATATGACAGTCCTGTTTTTTCCATTCATGGATACTCTGTATCTCTGTCAGTGGTTGAGGTATGAGCATTTCTTTGCCCCAAGGCCAGTTCAGCCAAGAAGAAAGACTCCAGGTGGAGTGTCTTTGGTGTTCAACATTCTCTCGGGAATAAAGTGGTGTTGCCAGGAGCAATTGTGTCTCACTACCACAAAAACTCTGAGTTAGATTAAAGGCCATTTTCTACAGCTCTTTGAAGAGGTTGAAGATTATCTATCTATACTGAGTATAATCTCTATGTATCTAAAGAACCTGATTAGTCTAATTATAAATGACAAACTTAGAATACTATTGATCTATATAATTTTCAATAACTATCTAACTTAAAGACTAAGACAATAAACAACTGTGCAACAAATGAGGATAATGACCTCCAAATATAAACAATGTACAAATATACAATGCAATATGATAAATATATATCAATATACAAACAATATATAAGTATCTTAGTCAGAGGTAGAAATGTACACTGCAATATGATAAATATACAATATCAATACAATGTATATATCAGTACATAAAAAATGTTTTAAACAGAGGTAGAAACATGCATGCATACAATAGTCAATATAATTTAACTTTGTATCAATATATAAGAATTGATACCAATATATTTATCTCAAAACAATAACTCACAACTACTAACAAGTACCAATCTATTATCCCATCATCCCATTATCCCTCTTTTTTTTTTCCATGTAATTATTTCGGGTAAAGCTAGCCAGGTGGTGGGAAGCAGCCTGCCACTCATATTACAACAATGTTCTTCTTTACACTCACTTTTTATTGAATATAATTTCATATAGTATATTCTGATTATGCCTCTTTTCACCCAATTCCTCAAAGACCTTCCCCAACCACCCAAGTCCAGCCTTTTCTTTCAATTATTTTAGAAAATAAACAAACAAAATCTCAAACAGAACAGATTTAAAAAAAAAAAAGAGAGAATGAAGAAAATAGAAGTGGCCACACAAAAATATTTTAAAAACTATAATATTTATGCAAAAGGTTAGAATAAAAAAAAATCCCAAACAAAGCAACATGGAA